ATAGGGACCATGAGAATCTTAATATTAAAATTCAAAGAAGACAATTCTACTCAAGTTAGACTGTTAGAGCTTACATAACTACAAAAAATGATAGCTAATGGCTGTGTTTTGATTGCAATAATGTTTTCATTGATTACTTACGTCAAACCTTCTAGACTATGACCTTAACCATTTATTAGTTTCATACAGGATTATAGAAAAACAAAAGAATAAGGAGTATATAATGCATTCTCAGAGCATCATCAAAACACTTTATCAGAGACTCACCAAAGAGGCTTTAAATGTGGAGCAAGACTTACAAAGTTGGAAAAAAAAACGAATGAAGTTTCTTGTAAAAAGAATTCAAAGATTAAAGGAACAGTATATAACGTTTGTTCAAATAGAGGCCCCGACTCAAATGGTTTTGCAATGGCTTTCCTTCAAAATTGTTGGGAGGTTGTCAAAGGAGATCTGGTAAGAGTCTTTTAAGAGTTTTTTCTCCGAATTCGAAGATTCATAATAGAATGAATTTGACTTCATTTCTTTGTTCTACAAAGAACAAAATGGGAAGAATTCACAGATTAAAGGAGTGGTATGGATTATGTCTAACTTGCACAGAGACCTTGGTCCCCTTGTCCCAAAGTGAGTCAACCATCTTGTTGGCTATCCAAGAGGCAAAAGAATTTGTCTGCCACAAACAAAAGGCCGCTGAGCCTTAACAACAGATCTCACCTCCTTACTAAGAGAGTCTTTGGGATTGTTATCTAAGACTTATAAGTAGCATTAAGCACCTTTTTTCAATCTTCCTGTTTGATAACATAAAAAACACTATGCTTATTTAGTTTTAAAAAGTGCTTCCAAGAAAGTAAAAGAATAAACACCTTATTTTAAGAACCTAAAAAGTCTGGAATTAGGTGGCGATCTGTTAACTTCTTAAATCACTTTAAAAACCAAATACGCACCATGTTTTTCATGTTATTAAACCGGAGGATTGAACAAAGTGCTTAAGCTACTTATAAGTACGAAATCACAATCTCAAACACTTTCAGGATTAGCGTATCTACTAATCAATCTATGTCATCAATTCTTAGCCAAAAAGTTGCCTCTACTATCAGTCGTAAAACCCAAAATTTTTTATGCTCCGTGGATTTTCCCTAAAGAACTTGGGCTAACCTAGAGGAGGCTCTAAAATTAGCAAAACCCACAGGATTAATCTCCTGCCACCGTTGCTTAGTCTTTGAAGCCCTCTACCTTAAGTAACTTGATGCAAAATGGGGTAACTCTAGATCGCCTAAATAGTTTAGAAATTATAATTCTTTTAAATATAAAACTTATTATATTATTTAGAAGTCTATTACCATAGACTTAATTCTTTAGGATTTTAATATTTTCAGCATTTAGTGTTTTGTATTTATTTTAGCAGTATTAATATTTCTTAGTTTAATTCTATTCAGAAAGGTACTTAAAAAGCATTATAAATATTTCTATAATTTCACTTTGGAGATGGAGTCAATTATTCAATAAAATACTTTGACAGTTTCTCCATTTTTCTGGTTTCTTATGAAATTAAACATTTAAGTGTGATGTTCAAAATTAACTCTTATTTATCCTACATTAGTTGGTACCAAAGTTAAAAGAATTATATACCAAACACCTAAAACCTTACAACTAATCAGTCCCAAACTCATCTAATAAGAAGAAAAAAGAAAAAAAATTAAAGTTTGGACAAACATAAAACCCTTGTAGCTGCCAGTATGTTCACCAGCAGTAAGTGACATGGCCTCCACCACCAGTCTCAAAAGACCCGACTGGCATAAACCCGAAGCCCCATCATGGAATCTCGCCAAAAACCGCGACACTCACCATCACAAGATCTCCTAGCTGTTATCTCTCTTGATCCTGCTCTTCCTGCATCCGCATCTCACACTAACCATCAATTTGCAATCCCACCTCTAGTTGAGCCAACTGGTAGAAGCCTGCTGCCTCCAATGACTAAAAGTTGGCACATGAGCCTAATGCGTTTATCACCAGATGGCCATTGCATTATGCTCTATTTGACTTTTTAAAACCAATTTTGACCAAACCGTTCACCCAAGGCAGGTTCGGTCACTTTTAAACTGACTGTTCTCAAGAATTTTTACCTACTCTTCTTATTTTTGCACTCCTCATCGAAATTGCACTTCAATATTATGAAAAAAATTTGTAAAAATGTTGAATCTTTTCTTGAAAGAAAAAGAAATAATATTAAGAAGAAGAAGGATGAGTTAAAATGGCAGAGGATAAGGTGTCCTCATAAATCCATCACAAAAAGGACTCTGGAGCAAATAATTACTATGTAACAAGCAGCCTGAACCCAAAAATCAATAGATTATATTACCTCAATTCCTATGAAGCATAGAAATTGAGATAAATGGAAATTTTCCATGAGCCCCATTGGGAGGCCAAAAGCATCATCTTCTCCCATAGAACTTCAAATGGGAGGGATTTATCGTCGAATAACAGATGATTTCTTTCCAATAATATCACCCATAAACCTGCAAATAGAGCGCCTTGTGATAGAGATTTAATTTTTTCCTCACCATTCAGCAATACATGTAAGAATCTTTAAAACACTCCACAGAAAGAGGTGAAATCCAATTTAAACCTATTGACTAGAATATTCCATTGCCCTATCAGTTGAGATATTTTTTTCTTTACAATCAAATCGGTAATCTTATAATTAATTAGTAGAATCAATTAAAATTCTTATAATAATATTAATTTCTTTATTCGTAAATAAGAATTTTGTATAAATATCATGTTTGTAATATCACAAGTGTATGAGAAAATAAAATTAATAATTTCTCTAAAAATCTTCATAGTATCAGAAGCAATAAAATTATCTTAGAATTGTAGTTTGGAAGTATTTTTAAACTCTAAAATAGCACAATAGACTGAGTTGGTACTACCTATCAAGTGGTACTACCTATCAAGATCTACTTTCACCACCCATCCAGATGGGACACGCATTGCCACCGGACCACCACTTACTCCCTCACGGGCAGCCATGTGCCACCGCGAACTGATTGAAAATCTTCACAGAACACGCTGACCGCTCAAATTTGGCACGGATCTTGTAGAATCGCATTGAAAAACGCACGGATTCAAGCTTCGTGCAAAACTGGCCGCCATGGATCTTCTTCTCTAGCTTTCTCTTCGCACAGATCTGAAAGATCGCCTGTCGGTTTCCGGCTTGCCGCGACAAAACCACAATATAGCTCCCTTGGCACAGATCAAATTCAATCGCCTTCTATGTTGCAAATCCAGTCACAGTTCTTCTTTATCAACTGTACCGAGTTTTCTGGTTTCAAGTTGCATGCGAGACGGTTCACTTCTACCGCGTCTACCGCCGAATCGGTCTATTTTTGGCCATTGACTCTCGGCTTATAGCATATTTTCCTTTTCCAGACTCTGTTTCCAACTCTATTGGTGCTAATTAGAAGATTTGTTCTATCCTTGTGAGATCAGTAGTAGGTTTTGTTATTTTTTTGTTACTTTAAACCATGAGAAAAGTCAAGAGATTGGTTGTTCCTAATGTGGATAATTCTTCATCAGCTATTAGTGCATCAAATATGATAAAATAAGGTATTGCTCATCTCCCTACTATTTTCAATTCTAATACTTGAATTATACATTTTAGAGTTAACAAACACATGACAAACTTTTCTAAAACTTCTTAACATATTTTTCTTGTACTAATGGGAAAAATATCCGTATAGCAGATGGATCATACAATTGTGTATCTGAAATAGGTTTCATTAATTGTACTCCCATCATTACTTTGTCTTCAGTCCTTCATGTGCCTAATTTTCTTAACAATCTTTTATCAATTAATGTCATCACTAAAGATTTTAACTGTATAATTAAAGTTATTTCTGATTATTGTGTCATTCAGGATTTTCAAATATGAAAGAGGATTGACACTGATAGACTACAAAATGACTTACATGTCTTGGATAGAACACAAATCGTAATTGAAAATCAAACTGCATTTGCAAATCAGAAGTCAATTAAAAAATCTTATAATTGCATCGACAGTTGGGACATCATTCTGTCTTTACTCTCGAAAAGTTATATTCCAATTTATTTAAAAGAACTTTCATGAATTTATTATTTTGTAATGCATGTGAACTACCTAAATATAAAAAAAATTCCTATCATGTAAGTAACCATAGAAATCCTACTCCTTTTATGATTATTCACTCTAATATTGGGGGCCTATTCAAAATATCTTTTTATTTGATAATAAATTATTTGTTACTTTTATTGACTGTTTTACTACATTAACATGATTTATCTGTTGAAAGCAAAAAGTGAAGTGTTCTCATGCTTTCAATCATTTCTTAAAATGATATGTACACAATTTGATGCTACAATTAAGATTTTAAGAACAGACAACGATACAAAATATATGAATGATGGATTTTGTGTTTACATGAAGTCTAATAAGATAATCCATCAAACAAGTTGTGCCTACACCAATTAATAAACTGGTGTTGTCGAAAGGAAAAACAGACATATATAGGAGATAGCTCGATCTCTTATGTTCACCATGAATCTATCGAAAAGTTACTAGGGAGATACAGTTATTGTAACTACTTACCTTACCGACAGAATACTTTTGAGAATGTTTAGAAATCCTTTAAAAGTTTTGTAAGGAAAAAATTCACATATTTTTCCCTCAAATATGTTTGGATGTGTTTGTTTTATTCATACTAAAAATGTAGGTAAATTAGAACCCAGAGCCCTTAAATGTATATTTGTTATATATTCCCCTACTCAAAGGATTTCAAATGTTATCATTATTCGTGTAGAAAATATTTTGTTACTATGAATGTTATTTTCAAGGAATCTGAACTTTATTTCAATCAAACTCGACACATCTTCAACGGAAGAGTGAGAAAGAAGAGGCTATGCCCAATTTATTACTTCTTGACAGTCAGATTCAGAGGAAGAATTCTAGTTTGGAATTCTCATACAAGGAGATAATGTGGAGCGCTTGTATAAACAAGACTCAAAGAGGTATTTAAGAAAGAATAAGACAAAAAAAGATACTATGCAGTCTGACCCAGGTTAGAAATCTTTCTCAGTTCCTAAAAATACTTGTGAGTTATCTTTACTATGTGATTTATCTGAAGATGTGGATAAACTCATTACTCTTAGAAAATGAGTAAGATCTTACACCAAACACTTTATGTCTGATTTTGTTTCTTATGACTCTCTATCTCATTTATATATGAAGCTATTTGAGAGGAAATATTGCTTCTCATATATTTCCATCATAAATAATGTATATTTATACAACCTAAATGCTAGCAAACCTGACAAATTCTAACAAGATCCTAACAATTTTATGGGGAGGAGGAAATCTGCTTGTGACTCCCTCCGTATACAGAATCTATAGCTAATAAAACAAAAAATATACAATCTGGAAAATATCCGAAAAATACAACTTAATTTTTCCTTATTTTCTACTTAATTATTCCTTATTTTTCACACTCTCCTTCAATCTAGTTTACATATATGTTGAGTAAACCTCGATTGAATATTATGTCATCGAAGGTTATTTTAGTTAGAGTTTTCGTTAAAATGTCTACAATCTGTTGACTGGTTGAAATGTGCATCAGTGTTATAGTTTCATCTTCCAATTTCTCTTTGATAAAATGACGATCGATCTCCACATGTTTGGTCTATCATGATGTACAAGGTTCTTGGCCATACGGATGGTTGATTGATTGTCGCACCACACCTTCATAGGTATGTTGTTAGGAGCCTCTAATTCGACAAGTATTCTCTTTAACCACATACCTTCACATATATCGTAAGCAAGGTCCCTAAATTCAGATTCTGCACTGCTGCAAGATACAATTGACTGTTTCTTGCTTCACCAGGTGACCAGGTTCCCCCAAACGTAGGTACAATACCCTAATGTAGATCTTCTGTCACTTGTAGAGTCTGCCCAATTTGCATCAGTGTAAATTTCAACATCTCTTTTATCTGTCTTTTAAAAGAACAATCCTTGTCCTGAAGTCATTTTAAGATACCTCAGAATTCGATACACAGCTCTCATGTATTCCTCAGTTGGCTGATTCATTAACCGACTTACTGTACTTACTGCAAAACTGATGTCAAGTCTTGTATGTGCTAAGTAGATAAGCTTTCCAACGAGTTTTTGGTACCTCCCTTTATCAACTGTTTTATTACTGATTTTGGATCCAAGCTTAATGGTTGAATCCATAAGAGTGTCAGCAGGCTTGCTTTCTAGCATCCCAGTCTCCTTTAGAAGATCCATAACGTACTTTCGTTGAGATATTAAAATTCTTTTCTTTGATCTAACCACTTCCATACCAAAAAAGTACTTTAATATCCCCAGATCTTTAATTTCAAATTCTTGGGTTAGAAATTGCTTGAATTTCTGAATCTCCTCAATATGATCACCTGTAAGAATGATGTTATCAACGTATACAATCAAAAAGGCTTTCTTACCTGAGGTGCAATACTTGACAAATAGTGTCTGATCGGATTGACATTGTTCATATCCTTCATGTTTTACAGCTCTTATAAATCTATCAAACCACGTCATTGGAGATTGTTTTAAGCCATAGAGTAATTTGTTCAGTTTGTACACTTTCTAAGGATTGTTTATTAGTTCAAACCCTAGTGATATATCCATATATACTTCTTCCTCTAGATCACCATTAAGAAATGCATTCTTCACATCTAGTTGACAAAGTCGCCAATCAAGGTTAGACGCAAGTGAAAAAAGTACCCGAATAGTATTGTGTTTGGCTACTGAAGCAAAAGTCTTATGATAGTCTACTCCATATGACTGAGTGTAGCCTTTGGCTACCAGGCGAGCCTTATACCGATTCACACTCCTATCTGGATTATACTTTAGTTGTGAAAACCCATTTGTACCCCACTTGGTGTTTTTCTGGAGGTAGATCAACTAATTCTCATGTCTCATTCTTTTCAAGTGTCTTGATTTCCTCTTGAATAGTTATCTTCCATTCAGGTATTTCCAAAGCTTCGTCAATTGTTTTGGGCTCTTGTGAACTACTATCTATCCTGCATATAAAAGCATGATGTTCCGAAAACAGCTTGTCCAAAGAAACATAGTCCTGTATAGAATGTTTAGTGCATGTCTGAGTCCCATTTCTCAAAGCAATAGGAACATCAATATCAGTATCTGAAGTAAGAGCAGAGATTACATTACTTGAATCAAAGGTAGATTCATGGCAGAGCTTGGATGATTCAGGTACTTTTCTTTTATTTCTTCTAGTATAGACGCGTAACTCACTAGCTGCAGGTAATGTGTTCTTTGTAACTAGCTTTGGTTCAGGTTCTAGAGAAGGTTTGTCTAGTAAGGAATGACTCAGTGGATGTAGAGGAGGTATACTCACATCCCATAACTGATATTCCCGAGTAAATATCTCCTCATGAATATCAGTTGTGGGGTAAAAAGGTTGGTTTTCAAAAAATGTGACATCTATTGTATTATAGAAGCGACGAGTTTCCGGAACTAGACACTTGTATCCTTTCTGATTAACAGAATACCCAACAAAAATGCATTTTATGGCTCTTGGGTCAAGTTTTCCACGGAGGTGTTTGTGAATATGGATATAAGCTGAACAACCAAAAATTTTGAGTGGTAATGTATTTGAAATATGAAATGCAGGAAAGATTTGTGAAAGAATGGCGTAAGGTGATTGAAATTGTAAGATCCGGGAGGACATCCGATTTATCAGGTAGGTAGCAGAAAGAATTGCCTCTCCGCAGAGGAATTTTGGTACATGAATGGTGAATATAATTGATCTACTTACCTCAAGAATATGTCTATTTTTCCTTTCAGCTATGTTATTTTGTTGTGGGGTATGAACACAAGAGCTTTGGTGAATAATTCTATGTTCAGTAAAGTATTTTTCAAGGGTGGTTTCAAAATATTCATAAGCATTGTCAGATTTCAACACTTAGATGGTAGCTTGAAACTGGGTTCGAATCATTGTATAGAATTTTTTAAATAGAGGTCCAATTTTTTATTTTTCTTTCAAGAGAAACACTCACATAATTCTTGTATGGTCATCAATGAAGGATACAAACCATCCACTTTCGATGATGTTGGAGACCTTAGAGGGTCCCCATACATCGCTATGAATGAATTCAAATGATTTTAAGAATTTGTATGGTAAACTAGGGAATGAACTTCGAACATGTTTAGAAAATTGGCATACTTCACACTGAAAAGAAACTGGATCTTTTTCTTTGAATAGTAAAGGGATTTCAGATATATGAAATTTGAATTTCCTAATCTATAGTGCCACAACATGATATCACGGTCATTATTTGCAGAAATAGAACATGAGTTTGCACATACTACTTTGTGAGTTTGTCTTCTAAAAAGTGTTGATTTGAAACAGGTATAATTCTGAGCTCATCTAGCACTGTCAATCGTCCTCCCCGAGTCC